TCAGAGAAGCAGAAAGAGAGAGCGTCCCAAGAACAACCGTGCGCTGAACATAATGGTGAGATGGCATGTATGGCCTACCGATGCAACACTCTCCAACTTTACCAAAGGACCTTTGGGAAAAAGCCCCCTTTATCCCTGTCCGATTATTTAGGCCCCTACATTAGGTGTTGGGGGCTTCGAGGCATTTGTACGGGTGAATCGTATAAGAGCCCTACAAGCAGTAAGGGAGGACCCCAAACTCGAAACCCTACCCTGAACCCTCGGGGTGGTGGCGGGGTTTAGGGCTTTATCTCCAGGATGTAAGCCTCCAAGATGCAAGGCTGGTGGGGCATGGGCTCTGGTGCCAGCAGCTGAAAGTTAAGGGTTTAGGGTTTAGGGTTTGCGATAATAACTGGAATTGAACCCTCCCAAACCCTGAACCCCAAAGCCATTGAACCCAAACAACCCAAAAAAAGAAACTGCAAAACTGGAAACCCTTCGACAAACAAACAAAGCTGACGAAACCCCTATCTAGGACCCTAACCCTAAGTCCTAACCCCCAAACCATAAAACCGTAAACCCCGAATCGCAAGCTCCCTGCGCCGAGGCACTGCGTCAAAAGCTCCCCGGCACGATGGCCCTTTTTCGAGTCCACTTCCTGAGTGTTAGTTCTTGCTTGTTGCAGTGCGGTGGTGGGTTGGGTGGGAGCGGGGGTAGCAGTCTAGGCAGTTTAGGCGTAGGTTTAGGATTCAGGGTTTCGGGGTTATCAGGGGTCGCAACCCTGAACCATACCCCAGTAGCATCTGTTGATTTTTGCTGCGTGCATTACCTAAACTTCCATCCAAGTTTGAGTCTGGTTTCAGGCTGGAGGACTAACGGGTTGGGGTGTTTTAGAGATGATGGTGTTATGTCGACGACGACGATCACCTTGACGACGACGCTGTCATGATCACTGTTGTCGTCGTCGTCGTCATTGAGGCTGATCTCTCGTTGCCGTTATTGTTGATGCTGATTCGAGTCGTTTTGCTGTTGTCGTTGGCGGCGATACTGGTGGTGCTGGTGCTGGTGTGGGGGGTTGCTGGTGCTGCTGCTCTGGTGTGGCGACGGTGGCGTTGTTGCTGGCCATGGGTCATAACATGGAGACGGTGATGCTGCGATGCTGCTGGAAGGATGGCGACGTATGCCGGGCAGGTTGCACCAGTAAGCACAAGTGGTTCGGCCTCATTGACACCTGGTATCGAAATTTCAGAGGGCCAGGACAATCGAGTCCAACAAGAACCAATCGATTGAATGTGGATTTGGTGGTCCACCGATTTTCTTTACCTCCCACAAGCCTTCGTGCAGTGCACTTTTTGCATGTCAGCAGCCATTCTTGAAACACATGCGACGAGGACATGCGAAGTCACGACGATGAGGACGACGATTCTGATGTGAGATGTTGAAGGTGTTGCTGATCACGAACGCAATGATCAAAGACAGCTGTGCAGCCACCCTCTACCCAGAACAGCACATAACAACCACAACTCACCAGCCTACCTTGCAAGCGACCCACAAGACCTTGAGAAGTTGAGTAAAAAAATCGCGAAGCCGCCTACGAAGAAGAGGGACGACAACATTGGAGCAATATCTAAAGCAATGCACAACCGAATAGCTGCTATACTACCATATATATATATATATATATATAGTTATTCATTTACTTACACACGCTAATCTTCTTCTTCAGCCCTGAAACTTAAACCCTAAATACATGCATATATATATATATATATATATGTACAGTAGACTCAGTAGACCAGAGCAGGCTGTACTAGACCAGACCAAGTTTCTGTCGACGTCTGGTTCTCTGACTCCACGCTTTTCTGCCCGGAAGGCGACTCTTCCTCGCCATCCCTCGGTTTGGGATTTAGGGTGTTTAGGGTTTAGGGTTTGGGATTTAAGGTTTAGGGTTTAGGGTTTAGGGTGTAGGGATTAGTATAGATAGAACTGTTATAATCGTGTTCTATTTGCTATGTGTCTATGTGTGTTGCTGTTATACCGTTATGATTAGTATAAGTATGAGTATACTTGCTGTCATTATTCGTATTTAACCTGATTGTTATTATTTTCAGGCTTAGGACAGGAACCCTAAACCCTGAATCCTAAACCCTGGCCCCCCCAAGGCTCAGCATCTCCCAACCGAAGCCAACGACACATCCTGCAAACTTCCCTGGACCCCTTTACCTATAGTCTCCATTGTAGTTCCTTTTGGGGTTTAGGGTTTAGGGTTTTTGGGATACCTTATGAAGTCCTTAATCTATAATATTGGTTACCCTAAACCCTAAACCCTAAACCCTAAACCCTAAACCCTAAACCGGTTAAACCAAAATAAAGAACTACAATGGAGAAAATATAAACTGCAGATCCCGTCGCCCCCTCAACCCTACGGGCCCATGTAGGCCAGTATAAGGTTCTATGAGGGTACTGCCATAAGGGTTCCCTTAAGGGCTTCTATAAGGGTATATACCATACGGGTTCTATAAAGTTTAACGTGCCCCTTTAGAGGGTGGCTTTAAGGGCCTTTTTAGGGTACTTTAAGGGCACCATAACGGCTTAGGGTTTAGGGTATACGGGTCCATGTACCCGAATAGTATATACTTGAGCCCTAGACTAGTCCCTTGAGCCCTAGACTAGTCCCTATATGGGTACTTTAGGCTAAAGCATTTGCCAAAGGAGCGCAAACCCTTAGGGTAATCCAACCACCCAAAACCTAGAGAGAGGCACCTCCAAGCACAAACCCTGAACTCTACCTTAAGAACCCAAAACCTACTTTTTTGTAGGGTCCCTATAAATCCCATGTTAGGGTTTATAATAAGAACCTACAAAAACGTGGGTTTGGGATTCTTAAGGTAAACCCGAAACTCAAGTTTCCAAAAGCAGAAGCCCCGCCTCAAAGCCGAAACCCCTGAACTCACTGAACTCTAAACCCTGAACCCCTCAACCCTAAACTTTAAACCCCTAAACTTGCCCTAAACTTCAACTCAAGACCCTAAACCCTAAACCCTAAACCCTGAACCCTAAACCCTAAACTTGTTCAACCAAAAACAGAAACACCAGCTTCGATAGCCAAGGGACTTGACCACAAAGCGCACCCTGAGATCGTCTGGGGGATGCTTTCAGTCATACTTCGCTTAAGCCCTTAGAGTTTAGGGTTTTGGGGGCTTAGAGTTTGACCCTAAAAAACCGAATCAATCATCAGAGGTTCCAGGCAAGGGTAATTTTTGGTGGATGAATCAATTCGAGCTGTAGGTATGTGATTCCTGTTCAATGTGGCTTTGTTCGATATCAATGCGCTGCAGTGGGATTTGCAAGGGCTTCCGAAAACGACAAAGGGGTGGGTATGGTCGGGATACGGCATCATGCTGCCATACTGTCCGCGGGTCGTCTGCATTCTACTAGGGTCCCTTCGGTGCTCAAACTCCCATCGGGTTATTCGGGATTGTCTAGCGCTGCTACAGTCTGAGCCTAATTGGAGCCGCTGAGTACGTAAAGCTACCTGTCTATCTGTCTATCTATCCATCTATCTAACTATAATCTAACTATCCAACTATCTATCCATCCAGCCATCTATCCGTCTATCTCTCGCTATCCATACATACATACATACATACATACATACATACATACATACATACATACATACATACACACATGCAGACAGACAGACAGACAGACAGACAGACAGACAGACAGACCGACAGACAGACAGACAGACAGACAGACAGACAGACAGACAGACAGACAGACAGACAGAGGTATGTAGCAAAACACACACACACACACACACACAGATGCAGAGCGACAACAGTGGTGGCGATGCCTATGCTGCCAAGTGAATGATCCAGATGACCATGAGGCCTGTACCTGCAAAGACACCAACAAAACCCCTGGCAGCCAGGAGGGCACGACTTACCCCTAAAACCTAAAACATAAAAACCCTAAACCTTAAACCCTGAACCCTAAAAACCCCAAACCGACTTACCCCAAACTCTAAATCCACAAAAACACGAGCCCTTGGGCCTTAGCACTAGAACAGGAACCCGAAAGCCGAGATCCTACATTCTGCTTCGGGCATAATGTAGGGGCCTTAATAAATAGAATAGGGTTTTGGGGTCTATTCAGTAAAAATATAATAAGGAGCCCCGAAAATAGTATAGGTATTTTTTTAGGCCCCTCTATTCGGTCCCTCATTCAAAACCAGGCGCTCGTCCATGTTGGAGAAGCTAAACTTCTTCTTGACCCTCCTCCGTGCCTTTCGTCTAGCAATGACCTCCTGCCACAGTAAGAAGAGGGCTTTGCGTTCTTGTATTTAGGGTTTAGGGTTTCTGGGTCGGGCTTAATTGTCTGCGGCTGTCAGGGTCTAGCGTTTTGAGAAACAAAATGCTGTAAGGTTTTGCGTTCAAAGCCATCCGAGTCGTTCTGAGTTGGCGTTTCCTTTGCAGGGTCCTTCGCCCCTGCGCTTTCAGAGAAGTCCGATTGCAATCATGCCAACCAGCAATCATAGATTAGAGTCCGCATGAGACCCACAAAAAACATATGAGCCCAACAACAACCGTCACGAAGCACCTCGCGGGGGAGTCCAGCGCAACCCGAAACCCAAGTGTTTCAGCTCTTCATGGAGGAATATAGCTGAAATCGTTGTAGCAAGCCGTGCATGAGTCAAGGTATGCTCACGAAGTAGGTGCTCAAGTCTGCAATACCCTAAGGGTCCATGTACCCAAATAGTATATGTTTTGGCCTTAAAGTAGTCCCTATATAGGTACTTTGGTGCCAAATTTAAAGTATATACTATTTGGGTACATGGACCCTTAGGGATAAGCCCTCGAAATGCTGAGAAGCTTAAGCACAAACAAGAATTAGCGTGACCCTTGCAAGCATGAAAGCCTTGCACGCAGAACCTTTCTTCCAATTTCTCCAAGTGAGTTGGTGCGTACCTAGAAAAAAGGATATATGTACGTACATATTAATAAAAAAATTCTAGCGTAGTAATATATCAACATACATCTACTACCTTTCTTCCATGGCGTATTGGGCCCTCTGGGACAGGTCTGAGTGGCCTGCAGATGAGGAACCTGGTCATGCTAATCCAGTCAGAAAAGGCTAGCAAAACCCTAAACCCGAAAACCCTAAAACCTATGAAAGGCCTAGGGCTTTGGGGTTTAGGGTTTAGGTTTTCGTGCTTTCGGTTTGGGGTTTGGGGTTTCGATTTTCGAGTTTAATTGTTAATTTAATCAGGGGGTGGAGAGATTCCTATACTACGAGAAGCCGTGATGACGAAAAACTACAAAAATAACTTGTAGAGGTTCTAGACTCGTAAGGTACCTGCATAGAACGTTTAGGTGGTTCTCTATGCAAACAGACCAACGAGGCTTCCACATGACAGCCCAACCTCGAGCCCAGGTCTAAACGCTAAACCCTACACCCCAAACCACAAACCCCAAACCCTAAACCCTAAACCCTAAACCCCAAACCCTAAATTACTAAACCCCCAACCCCAAACCCTACCCCCCAAACCC